AATTCACCTTCTGTCCTTAATTTCTGGTCTGGGTCTGTGGGACTGTCTATCGGTCTACAATCAATCATGCATGTTTCTTGTAATATATCAAGAGCATACTTCCTTTGGGAGATTACAACTCCATCTTTTGATTGCGCTACTTCAATGCCTAAGAAGTATTTAAGACTTCAAGATCCTTGGTTTGAAAATGTCTACACAAGTACTCTTTCAGTTTTCCGGCACTGTTTGTCGCTGTCTGGCACTGTTTGCCGCTGTCTGGTGCCGTTTGTTGCTGTCTGGTGCCATTTACCGTTGGCACTATTTTTCCACTGTGAGGAGCTATCCACATAAGTTTTTCACCATCAACCTCGGTTTCCTGTCATTCCGACACCGTCCACTAATGCCTGCCACCGACCACCGCCACAGTTTAGTCTGGCGACCAATGGATCTGGATTGCCTCCTTGAGCCATGGTCAACCTTGCCTTTGTCAAGGGCTAGTTCTCATCCAAGCACCGCCACGTGCGCCACATCTGTTCAACCTCCATCGCCGCTGCCGTCTTGTTTTCTCTGGCGAAGTTAGGGGTTTTGTGCGCATCGAGGAGCGCTACCCATCCCTGGTTGTCGTTGCCTCATTCTCCTCCGCATGCAACGTCACGCACGACTTCTCTACGATCAGCTTCCAGCGTGTGTTTGTCACGCGCCACCTTTCCGGTGTCGAAATTACACTGTGACTCTGCCATTCGTCTCGACGGAGCCTCGTGAGTGCATTTTGGTCCTTGTTTCTTAGTTTTAGTGGTTGTAACTCAGACCTAGGGTTTTCTCCTTTGGTTGTTTTGGAACCCTACAGATCTCTGTTTCATCATTGTTTGAGTCATCGAATCATGTTGAGTCCATATACGTCCTTGGTTCCTGATTTCAAAGTCAGCAGACCGCTCTTGACGCCACTTCGTCACTTTTTTCTTCAATCGTTATTGGTCACTTTCTCCTTGGGCCCGAGTCTAGTTTGTTTAGCCCGTAGTTCTTGTGATACAGTGTTAAGTTTCACCATTTTGGAGTAGTCTAGCACAAAACCTTTGGACCTCCAACCTATCTTTGGCCTTTAATGTCATCATATGTCTCAATCTTTGTTCATTGAATCTGTCATCCTTACAGTTCTCAACACAATCCAACCATGGTTCCTAGTGGTGCTTTGATGTATAAAGGAGACCATTATGACATTCCACATTCACAGTTTCCGTCGTTCACCATGAGGGAGAGTATGTTTCAGTCACTACAGACCCCATCAATCAATGATGAAAGTTTAGTCCCTGCAGTATGTTTTTGTCCACTGCAGGCCCCATCCTTACTTGATGGCAATTTAGTCCCTACAGGCCCCATAATAGCAATTTAGTCCCTGCAGTAAGGGGGGAGTATGTTTCCAGCGACTAGTCAAACACTAGTCAGAGGCCCCAACTAGTTAGAGATGACAGTCCTTGCTTTCAGCCACTATAGGCCCTAATTAGTCAGAGATGGTAGTCCCTGTAGTTTTGTCTCTTTCAGCCACTGCTGGCCCCAACTAGTCAGAGATAGCAGTCCCTGCATTTTTGTCGCTTTTAGCCATGCAAGCCCCATCCTTATTTGATGGCAATCCAGTCTCTGCAGTTTGTCGTTGTCTACCACTCAACATTCACTTTTGATGGAAATCAACTTTGTTAAAGTCACCCTACTTGAAGGTTCATGGTGCTAGATGAAGTTTTGTGGTTGTCCAATATTATTCTCCATAAGCTTATGAGGAGTCTCTCTGGTTACACTGGTTTGTGAGTCCAATTTGGTTTATAGACATTCTCTCTCGATGGTCTGAAGCATATGTGCATCTTGCTCGGAGCCAAAGTTTCCACGTCTATTGTTTTGACATTTTAGACAAGTTGATTTGGTTGGATTGAGTTTATTTATTCCAAGCTTGGCACATACAATTTGTATGCTCTAGCTTGAGGGGGAGTGTTAGAATATTTACCTTATTTATCATGATTATATTGTGTCTAGGGTTACCCTATTTATCATGATTATATTGTGTCTAGGGTTACCCCATTTATCATGATTATATTGTGTCTAGGGTTACCCTATTTATCATGATTATATTGTGTCTAGGGTTAGCCTATTTATCATGATTATATTGTGTCTATGTTACGCTATTTATCATGATTATATTGTGTCAATTTATTTTTATAAATAGAAGATTATGAGAGGGATCAATCAAGACCTCAAGAATTATTTTACAGTTTAATTCTCAAGTGGACTTTTATCATTGTAGGTTTCTTTTTCCTATGTAGAGGGCTTGTTAGCTAGTGTATAGCTTTATAGCTGACCTGTTTTTTGTTCATGAGTTTTGGTTGGGTCCCCATGAGTTCTTTGTATCTTTCTTTTTGTTTTTATGATATTTTTATGTCATGACAAATAATATATGTCCTTGGGGTGTCAGCATAGCTAAGATGCCAAGAATCATAATGATGTCTAGCATGAGTTTTATATATAAAAAAAAAGTATACAAATACCCTTCCAAATGAGCCTACTCCTTTATAATGGAATCTATTTAGTTTTACAAAATATTCGAAGTCCTCCCTTTCTACTTAAAAGAGGCTCGAGGCTCATTTAAGGGAAATGAAATGATTCACAAAACTAACACTCCTAATCTCCGACTAAACTACTACTCCTTTACTTGTTCTTTTTCCTCCTACAATACACCTTGTTGGCACAACCCTTCCTAGAAGGGCATTGAATATAGCCTTTAAATACTCTTGATATTTAGTGAACAAGCAACCAAAAACAACACAACAAATGTTTCTACTAGTTCATCTAAACTTATGGGCTACATCTAGTTTTCTCTCAAATACTCTTGATATTCTTCATCAGTGAATTTGGGGTCGACAGTTTCAACCTTAGGGACATGGGTGGTCTTGTTAGGAAAGCTATGCAAGGAGAAGTAGTTTTCTTAGGTGTGACCCATCCTTTCACGGTATGTGCACTGAGAACGTCCTCAACCTCTACGTCTCCTCTAGTATTTCGTCCTCATTTTCCTTGTGTGGAAACCATAACAGAAGGTTTCATATGTTCATGAGTTTCCTTGCTTTGATGCATTGGAACTCGAAGGAGTCGTGATGTCAAGCTTTCCATGGAAGGGACTTCATGACCTGTTAGAAGTTGATCTCTAATATGATTGAAGTCTGGATGTAGAGCATGAATCATCGCCATATAATATTTATCAAGTATTTTCTTGATCTCATCCAAAGATTCCCCTTCCAAGAACATCTTCAATGCAAGCCTATATGTAGAGTCATAAAGGCGTTGAATATCATTTGCAAAAATGTTGAGCTTTCTTACAAAATAGAGTTACAAGTTTTAAATGCTCTATGGGTTCCTAATAGCTTTGGGTCCACAGACGGCCATAGGAGAGCACACAACTAAAAATCAACTTTCTTCCACTGTTCAACTTTCTCAGGAGGGTCATTACTTCCATCTTGTTCAAGGTGGTCATGATAACCTTGGCCAAGGAACCACATTTCAACATATGCAAACCAAGAGAGCTAATTTTTCCCATTTAATTTCTTAGAAGAAATGGAAGGACTTTTAGAGAATGAGACAAAAACTCCAGTAGACATTTTTAGGAGTCCAAAAACGGTAGCACAACAGCCAACAAGAATAGTAACTAGGTTTAACTAGGAAACCCTAGATAACCCCTTAAACTGCACTTGGAAAAGTGCAACCAAGGACCATAATAGATTGAGGAAAGATTGACGAACAAAGATGAGGTGATGTGATGTTGCTTCAAACAAGAGGAGGGCGACGTATGAGCTTCACGCTCCAAGTAGCAATGAAGACGGTCCATATCTGGTGGTGGCGGACGACAACAGATGGCGGTGGTAGCCAATGACGGAAGGCAAATGCAGCGAAACAATACACCGGAGATGATTGAGACCAACAAAGTGAGATCGACTCAGTGTGATACCAACTTAAGATTAAACAGAGAGAAAACATATTTTGGAGGGCTTAAAAGACCCCTCTTATGATCTTTAATTTATAATGATAGAAATCTGATACATTGGGAAGGTGAAAGATCAAAAGACTGTACAGACACCTAGGTGCAAAACTAGGTAGAGCGGGAAGTAGTTCCCAATACACTACTCCTTACTTGGACTTAATAATTACTCTAACATACTTAGATTTAATAATTATTCTAATAGGATTATCTATTGCTTTGAGTATCCACTTGATAGTCTGAACAGCTGAAGCTTGTACAAAACACACATTAGCAAGTTCGTAGGAATAGAGCATGTATATATAAGATTGTCTAACTTTTGTTATCATCAAAACTCTCTTGAAGGGTTTTTACTAGAGATAGACCATCTAGATTGTAAGACGGTCTAAGATCTCAACTTTCCTTTGACCCTTTTCCATTAAAGCTTGTTGCTCTGACTGGTCTTAACAGTTCCTTCTTCGGAACTTTTCAAATTTAGGAGTTTGTTTGAAAATCAAATCAATTGCTACTCTAACTTTTCAGAAAAGATAGCATTAGTTTATTCAATTCCCAATTTTGTTGTTCCAAATATCCTTGCACTTCTACATTCTATAGAATTATGAGATGAGGAGAGGCAACCCAGGTTAAAAGTTTGATCGATAAATATTGTTTTTAATAAGGTGACATTTCTGAAATTTGGTGTTTATAATATGTATTTACGTAATACTAGTTTACATTTTGTGGTTCTGAACGTAAACTTTTAAATACTATAAAGTATGAGATGAGGCAAGATGCTGTATTGAAAGGCCGGAGTTTGATTGATAAATTTTGCAATATATACCTAACATGTTTCTGTCATTACCGTTCAGAATATGTAATTGCAAAAAATGTTTGTTTCAGGTGCACTTTGTTCTGTTCTCCCCTGATATTTATGACATCTGGTTAAATAAGGTAGATGAGTTACTGAAAGATTAGTGTGCCACATCCGTTATCAGCAACTCAATTGAACACAATTATCTAATGGTTGAGCATGCATTATCGAGTTTCAAATGATTGTGTAAGAAAAAGATATAAGCTTAATCTTGAAGATTTTCTTGATGATGGTTTCTATTATACGAGTACTGTATGAAAAAGATTTTAATTCAATCTGCAGCCCGCCTTAAAGTTTGATTTTATTAAAATCGGAACAGCTGAGTGCATTTTTACCTTTGTATGGAGGTTCAGGCTCCATTTATATGCATTTTAGTGTTTAAGAGTGTTTGATCGTGATCTGGCTATTTTGTCTTCAAAAATTATTTTTTAAAATAATTCTTGAAGAGCTTTTTTAGAATCAAAGAGGAAAAAATTGGATTGAGAAAGCACAACTTTAAAGGCTTTTATTCCCTGTACTTCTACAATTTCTTCGTGCACCCTCTTAAATTTTGAAAATGACTATTTTACTCTCCGTAAAAGTGACTTCTGAAATACTTACTTATTTTGGAAAGTTTTCGGAATTTTGAAACAGTATTTTGGAATGAGATTTTGGAAATAGAATTCAAGAATGATATTTCTGTAATGAGAATTTTGAAATAAAATATTTGGAACGATTGAAATACATTTTAAAATAAGCTTTTTGGAATGAGNTTAGGCCTGGAGTTCGGTGCCCAACAGGGGAAGCAAGGATTACACGGTGAGTTGTGCTTTAGCACATGATGAGCTTGTCAAAATAGTTTTTGAATTGAAAAAGTTGTCGTATTTTTTAAGAAATTGAAGCTTATGTGCAAAAGCTAAAATCACCTTAATTAGTTCTGCTTGTCTCTCATAGACCTTGTAGTTGTTGATGTGCAGTGGTTTTATGCTGCCTGCTTCTCATGTTATTCACACTGTTGGCCCAATCTACAGTAGTGATAGTAATCCTGCTGCCTCTCTAGCAAGTGCTTACAGGTGGTTTTTTTAAAAGAGTGCTTGTTCAGCTATTCTTCATCCTCTTTGAATCGGAATGTTTATGTTTCATTTTGTGTTTTGGTTAATTGTCATTGCACTTGATGGAGAGATTTGTATTGTCATTGATTTCCAGGAATACTTTAAGGGTTGCGAAAGAAAACAACATTCAGTATATAGCATTCCCAGCCATATCATGTGGTGTCTATGGGTAGGTTTATGCTAACAAACATCCCTATGCCTTTCTAATTTACTCATTCTTCATTTGTTGATCATCAATATTGGTCATGTGGCAAGAGAAGACTAGTGTGAAAAGGTTAGAAATTAGAATGTAATTGCCTTTATGATGGAATCCTAAGCACAGTTATTTCCATTATGGCTTTTCATTTCAAAAGTTTGATTATTGGAACAAAAACAAGACATACTGTTAAAATTTATAACACAATAAATTTCTTTCTAATATAAGATAGCCTTCCTATTTGTCATGATGATTAATATAGTTTGTTCTCAAACCTAATAATTTCAGTCCGCCAGCTCTCAAGACTTTCATTAAAATTGTATAACACAACTGCTTTGTCTCAGATACCCTTATGATGAAGCCGCTACAGTAGCAATTTCTACCGTCAAAGAGTTTCCAAATGACTTTAAGGAGGTAAGACATTACTTATTTGATCTAGGTTTTGATATGAATAAATATACAATTCCTAACCTCTTGCTAAATTGTTACCGTTTTTATTAGGAATCAAAAATAGAAATCCTAACACAATATAACTTTCTCTGTTACAAAACAGTGTGACTGAAAAGAATAGTATTTCTTCACAACACTTACAACAATCAAAACAACAGGGTAAACAAAATTGACCCCAAAAGGAGCACTTTCCTTTTCACTCTAGAAAATTCGGATTCACCAATGTTAGAAATCAAAAGCTAATAAAATCTCAATTAGAATTGAGGACCTATTTATTTTGTCTTTATTCTCAAACTGCATAGCTAACTACCCAGTTACTACTAATTACAATTTTTCCCTTTTTTCCTTTTAAAATATTCTTTTCCTTAAGGTTAAATATGGAAATTGAATAGTACAATTTGAATGATCTTCTCAAGTAGCTTCTTCTAGAGGTTTATTCTGCCATTGCACCAACGCTTGATGAATAACCTCTTCATTTTTATTCACTGTTTGATTATCTAATGCTTGAAGAGGCTAAAATTGTCAATCTCCCCCTATAACTTTGCTGTAGTTCTGATTCCACTAGATGGTCCCCTGGAGCTTGTTTAAGTTGTGAAACATAGAAAAGAGGATGTATGAAACTATTCTGGTGGTTGTAAGTTGAATGCAACTACTCCAATTTTATGTAGAACCAAATAAGGTCCGTAATGTATGGCTGGTAGTATGGGATGGAGTCTAGTAACCATGGTAGTACCCCTATGAGGCATGATCTTCAAATATACCCAATCCCCTTTGCTAAATTAATGCTATCTTTTGTGCCTATTAGCATAAAAGGCCATCTGATTTTGTGCTTTCTACAAATGAAATTTTAATTGTTTTAAAGCTTCATCTTGATCCATAAATCTTGAGCCATAGCTTCTGGCAAAGTTTCTCCTTGTGCAAACTTAGTCAAAGATGTGGAGGTGTGTAGTGTGCTGCCCCTTGAAAACTGGTATTATACGAGTTGAATATAGTGAAAACTATATATGAGATTAATCTCTCTTGTGTTGAATATACACATAGGGTCCTTTATTTATAATAGAAGAAATATGGGCTAAGCCCAAAATACAAATAAGAAATAATAACAAACTAATTAAAGATAAAAGATAAATATAAGATAAAGAAAATATATCTAACACTCTCCCGCAAGCTGGAGCATACAAATTATATGTACCAAGCTTGGAACAAATAAACTCAATCCGAGGACCTCTTAATGACTTGGTCAACACATCTGCGAGTCGATCGTTTGACCCAACAAACTTAGGACATATTTCTTTAGTTAACAACTTTTCACGAACAAAATGACAATCAATTTCTATATGTTTAGTCCTCTCGTGAAACAGTGGATTTGATGCAATGTGGAGAATAAATTGATTACCGCAATACATTTTCATAGTAAAGATGTCACAGAAGTTAAGCTCTTGAAGGAATTGTTTCATCCATATAAGTTCACATGTGAGTGACGTCATCGCCCTATACACGGGTTCAGCTGTTGATCGAGCTACTACATTCTGTTTTTTACTTTTCCATGAAATAATGTTTCCTCCCAGAAAAACACATTATCCTGTAGTAGACCCTCTATCAATAAGCAAACATGCCCAATCTACATCACAATACCCAAAGACCTGGATGCTTCCTTTATCTTCATATAACAATCCTTGCCCCGGAGCCTTTTTGATATACCTTAGAATGCGAGTGAGAGCATTCCAATGGTCAACACATGGACCTTGCATGAACTGACTAACCACTCCAACTTCAAAGGATAGTTCTGGCCTTGTAATAGTGAGATAAATCAGTTTTCCAACCAGCCTCCTATACCTCTCTGGCTTGGAGAATAATTCACCTTCTGTCCTTAATTTCTGGTCTGGGTCTGTGGGACTGTCTATCGGTCTACAATCAATCATGCATGTTTCTTGTAATATATCAAGAGCATACTTCCTTTGGGAGATTACAACTCCATCTTTTGATTGCGCTACTTCAATGCCTAAGAAGTATTTAAGACTTCAAGATCCTTGGTTTGAAAATGTCTACACAAGTACTCTTTCAGTTTTCCGGCACTGTTTGTCGCTGTCTGGCACTGTTTGCCGCTGTCTGGTGCCGTTTGTTGCTGTCTGGTGCCATTTACCGTTGGCACTATTTTTCCACTGTGAGGAGCTATCCACATAAGTTTTTCACCATCAACCTCGGTTTCCTGTCATTCCGACACCGTCCACTAATGCCTGCCACCGACCACCGCCACAGTTTAGTCTGGCGACCAATGGATCTGGATTGCCTCCTTGAGCCATGGTCAACCTTGCCTTTGTCAAGGGCTAGTTCTCATCCAAGCACCGCCACGTGCGCCACATCTGTTCAACCTCCATCGCCGCTGCCGTCTTGTTTTCTCTGGCGAAGTTAGGGGTTTTGTGCGCATCGAGGAGCGCTACCCATCCCTGGTTGTCGTTGCCTCATTCTCCTCCGCATGCAACGTCACGCACGACTTCTCTACGATCAGCTTCCAGCGTGTGTTTGTCACGCGCCACCTTTCCGGTGTCGAAATTACACTGTGACTCTGCCATTCGTCTCGACGGAGCCTCGTGAGTGCATTTTGGTCCTTGTTTCTTAGTTTTAGTGGTTGTAACTCAGACCTAGGGTTTTCTCCTTTGGTTGTTTTGGAACCCTACAGATCTCTGTTTCATCATTGTTTGAGTCATCGAATCATGTTGAGTCCATATACGTCCTTGGTTCCTGATTTCAAAGTCAGCAGACCGCTCTTGACGCCACTTCGTCACTTTTTTCTTCAATCGTTATTGGTCACTTTCTCCTTGGGCCCGAGTCTAGTTTGTTTAGCCCGTAGTTCTTGTGATACAGTGTTAAGTTTCACCATTTTGGAGTAGTCTAGCACAAAACCTTTGGACCTCCAACCTATCTTTGGCCTTTAATGTCATCATATGTCTCAATCTTTGTTCATTGAATCTGTCATCCTTACAGTTCTCAACACAATCCAACCATGGTTCCTAGTGGTGCTTTGATGTATAAAGGAGACCATTATGACATTCCACATTCACAGTTTCCGTCGTTCACCATGAGGGAGAGTATGTTTCAGTCACTACAGACCCCATCAATCAATGATGGAAGTTTAGTCCCTGCAGTATGTTTTTGTCCACTGCAGGCCCCATCCTTACTTGATGGCAATTTAGTCCCTACAGGCCCCATAATAGCAATTTAGTCCCTGCAGTAAGGGGGGAGTATGTTTCCAGCGACTAGTCAAACACTAGTCAGAGGCCCCAACTAGTTAGAGATGACAGTCCTTGCTTTCAGCCACTATAGGCCCTAATTAGTCAGAGATGGTAGTCCCTGTAGTTTTGTCTCTTTCAGCCACTGCTGGCCCCAACTAGTCAGAGATAGCAGTCCCTGCATTTTTGTCGCTTTTAGCCATGCAAGCCCCATCCTTATTTGATGGCAATCCAGTCTCTGCAGTTTGTCGTTGTCTACCACTCAACATTCACTTTTGATGGAAATCAACTTTGTCAAAGTCACCCTACTTGAAGGTTCATGGTGCTAGATGAAGTTTTGTGGTTGTCCAATATTATTCTCCATAAGCTTATGAGGAGTCTCTCTGGTTACACTGGTTTGTGAGTCCAATTTGGTTTATAGACATTCTCTCTCGATGGTCTGAAGCATATGTGCATCTTGCTCGGAGCCAAAGTTTCCACGTCTATTGTTTTGACATTTTAGACAAGTTGATTTGGTTGGATTGAGTTTATTTATTCCAAGCTTGGCACATACAATTTGTATGCTCTAGCTTGAGGGGGAGTGTTAGAATATTTACCTTATTTATCATGATTATATTGTGTCTAGGGTTACCCTATTTATCATGATTATATTGTGTCTAGGGTTACCCCATTTATCATGATTATATTGTGTCTAGGGTTACCCTATTTATCATGATTATATTGTGTCTAGGGTTAGCCTATTTATCATGATTATATTGTGTCTATGTTACGCTATTTATCATGATTATATTGTGTCAATTTATTTTTATAAATAGAAGATTATGAGAGGGATCAATCAAGACCTCAAGAATTATTTTACAGTTTAATTCTCAAGTGGACTTTTATCATTGTAGGTTTCTTTTTCCTATGTAGAGGGCTTGTTAGCTAGTGTATAGCTTTATAGCTGACCTGTTTTTTGTTCATGAGTTTTGGTTGGGTCCCCATGAGTTCTTTGTATCTTTCTTTTTGTTTTTATGATATTTTTATGTCATGACAAATAATATATGTCCTTGGGGTGTCAGCATAGCTAAGATGCCAAGAATCATAATGATGTCTAGCATGAGTTTTATATATAAAAAAAAAGTATACAAATACCCTTCCAAATGAGCTTACTCCTTTATAATGGAATCTATTTAGTTTTACAAAATATTCGAAGTCCTCCCTTTCTACTTAAAAGAGGCTCGAGGCTCATTTAAGGGAAATGAAATGATTCACAAAACTAACACTCCTAATCTCCGACTAAACTACTACTCCTTTACTTGTTCTTTTTCCTCCTACAATACACCTTGTTGGCACAACCCTTCCTAGAAGGGCATTGAATATAGCCTTTAAATACTCTTGATATTTAGTGAACAAGCAACCAAAAACAACACAACAAATGTTTCTACTAGTTCACCTAAACTTATGGGCTACATCTAGTTTTCTCTCAAATACTCTTGATATTCTTCATCAGTGAATTTGGGGTCGACAGTTTCAACCTTAGGGACATGGGTGGTCTTGTTAGGAAAGCTATGCAAGGAGAAGTAGTTTTCTTAGGTGTGACCCATCCTTTCACGGTATGTGCACTGAGAACGTCCTCAACCTCTACGTCTCCTCTAGTATTTCGTCCTCATTTTCCTTGTGTGGAAACCATAACAGAAGGTTACATATGTTCATGAGTTTCCTTGCTTTGATGCATTGGAACTCGAAGGAGTCGTGATGTCAAGCTTTCCATGGAAGGGACTTCATGACCTGTTAGAAGTTGATCTCTAATATGATTGAAGTCTGGATGTAGAGCATGAATCATCGCCATATAATATTTATCAAGTATTTTCTTGATCTCATCCAAAGATTCCCCTTCCAAGAACATCTTCAATGCAAGCCTATATGTAGAGTCATAAAGGCGTTGAATATCATTTGCAAAAATGTTGAGCTTTCTTACAAAATAGAGTTACAAGTTTTAAATGCTCTATGGGTTCCTAATAGCTTTGGGTCCACAGACGGCCATAGGAGAGCACACAACTAAAAATCAACTTTCTTCCACTGTTCAACTTTCTCAAGAGGGTCATTACTTCCATCTTGTTCAAGGTGGTCATGATAACCTTGGCCAAGGAACCACATTTCAACATATGCAAACCAAGAGAGCTAATTTTTCCCATTTAATTTCTTAGAAGAAATGGAAGGACTTTTAGAGAATGAGACAAAAACTCCAGTAGACATTTTTAGGAGTCCAAAAACGGTAGCACAACAGCCAACAAGAATAGTAACTAGGTTTAACTAGGAAACCCTAGATAACCCCTTAAACTGCACTTGGAAAAGTGCAACCAAGGACCATAATAGATTGAGGAAAGATTGACGAACAAAGATGAGGTGATGTGATGTTGCTTCAAACAAGAGGAGGGCGACGTATGAGCTTCACGCTCCAAGTAGCAATGAAGACGGTCCATATCTGGTGGTGGCGGACGACAACAGATGGCGGTGGTAGCCAATGACGGAAGGCAAATGCAGCGAAACAATACACCGGAGATGATTGAGACCAACAAAGTGAGATCGACTCAATGTGATACCAACTTAAGATTAAACAGAGAGAAAACATATTTTGGAGGGCTTAAAAGACCCCTCTTATGATCTTTAATTTATAATGATAGAAATCTGATACAATGGGAAGGTGAAAGATCAAAAGACTGTACAGACACCTAGGTGCAAAACTAGGTAGAGCGGGAAGTAGTTCCCAATACACTACTCCTTACTTGGACTTAATAATTACTCTAACATACTTAGATTTAATAATTATTCTAATAGGATTATCTATTGCTTTGAGTATCCACTTGATAGTCTGAACAGCTGAAGCTTGTACAAAACACACATTAGCAAGTTCGTAGGAATAGAGCATGTATATATAAGATTGTCTAACTTTTGTTATCATCAAAACTCTCTTGAAGGGTTTTTACTAGAGATAGACCATCTAGATTGTAAGACGGTCTAAGATCTCAACTTTCCTTTGACCCTTTTCCATTAAAGCTTGTTGCTCTGACTGGTCTTAACAGTTCCTTCTTCGGAACTTTTCAAATTTAGGAGTTTGTTTGAAAATCAAATCAATTGCTACTCTAACATTTCAGAAAAGATAGCATTAGTTTATTCAATTCCCAATTTTGTTGTTCCAAATATCCTTGCACTTCTACATTCTATAGAATTATGAGATGAGGAGAGGCAACCCAGGTTAAAAGTTTGATCGATAAATATTGTTTTTAATAAGGTGACATTTCTGAAATTTGGTGTTTATAATATGTATTTACGTAATACTAGTTTACATTTTGTGGTTCTGAACGTAAACTTTTAAATACTATAAAGTATGAGATGAGGCAAGATGCTGTATTGAAAGGCCGGAGTTTGATTGATAAATTTTGCAATATATACCTAACATGTTTCTGTCATTACCGTTCAGAATATGTAATTGCAAAAAATGTTTGTTTCAGGTGCACTTTGTTCTGTTCTCCCCTGATATTTATGACATCTGGTTAAATAAGGTAGATGAGTTACTGAAAGATTAGTGTGCCACATCCGTTATCAGCAACTCAATTGAACACAATTATCTAATGGTTGAGCATGCATTATCGAGTTTCAAATGATTGTGTAAGAAAAAGATATAAGCTTAATCTTGAAGATTTTCTTGATGATGGTTTCTATTATACGAGTACTGTATGAAAAAGATTTTAATTCAATCTGCAGCCCGCCTTAAAGTTTGATTTTATTAAAATCGGAACAGCTGAGTGCATTTTTACCTTTGTATGGAGGTTCAGGCTCCATTTATATGCATTTTAGTGTTTAAGAGTGTTTGATCGTGATCTGGCTATTTTGTCTTCAAAAATTATTTTTTAAAATAATTCTTGAAGAGCTTTTTTAGAATCAAAGAGGAAAAAATTGGATTGAGAAAGCACAACTTTAAAGGCTTTTATTCCCTGTACTTCTACAATTTCTTCGTGCACCCTCTTAAATTTTGAAAATGACTATTTTACTCTCCGTAAAAGTGACTTCTGAAATACTTACTTATTTTGGAAAGTTTTCGGAATTTTGAAACAGTATTTTGGAATGAGATTTTGGAAATAGAATTCAAGAATGATATTTCTGTAATGAGAATTTTGAAATAAAATATTTGGAACGATTGAAATACATTTTAAAATAAGCTTTTTGGAATGAGATTTTTTAGAATAAACTTTTTGGAATGAACATAATGCTATTCAGAATGAGGTTTTCAAATGCTCCTACATGAAATATATTTTGGAAAGGATAAGTCCCTTTTTTTTTTCAGAATGAGTCCTTTTTTTCTTCCTCTATAGCAGCGGTGTGGTGGCAGCAAACAGTAGCAATGGTGGGATGGTGTAGTGTAGTGGTGAATGATGAGTCTTTTACTGTTATTGTGGGGTGCAACTAGTAATTTGCAGAAACAGTCTAGAAAGTTGGAAGACAAAGAAGAATTGTTTGATATGTTTTAAAAGCAACGACCTTACGCTTCTCCTTTTCACTGTCAAGGCAATGCATTGGAAAGCTCCTCAAACTTTTCTCCCAAGCCCATTTATGCCGTGTTTCTTTTAGGAAGATTAATTAAAGAAGAATGGGTGGATAAATTTGAGGAAGAAGAGAAGATAAAATGAAGTTGTTTGTTTTAAGATATTTGAAGGTGATAGTGAAGATATTTAAGAGTAAAGTTTGTGAATGATTTGATAAATGCATTTTTAATAGATTAAATGGTAAGATTACATATTTATTCTTATGGATAAAATTAATAAAGAAATAAAATGTAATTAGTTAAAATTAATTTAAAATAAAATATTGATACTTTTTATAGAAAATTAATAGGTGTAATTAATTTAAAATAAAATGTGATTGGTTAAAAATAATTTTAATTAAATATTGAATTATACAAAAATTAATACTATTATTAATTAATTACTTTTACCATTATAACTTTTCTTAATATTTTATAGATGTATTTTTACATTAATATTATTTTTAAATACTTTATATTTCATTATAATTATTATTATTATTATTATTATTATTATTATTATTATTTATCATAGATAAAGAGTTGTAAATTTTAGAAAATATTAGGGCTATTTGCTAATTGTTTCTTTTTTATTTCTTTAAATCACCCCACCTTAGGAGAGAGAATCTCACCTCCCTCCCCGAAGTACTCTTCTTTTGTTTATAAATCTATTGAAGGAACAAGCATGTCATTCGCACTTACTATCTCACAAATAGTAAATCTATTGAAAGGAACACAATCTTAGTGTTGCAATGATTTGTAATTCTTTAATGGACTATTTCTTTCAACATCCTATAGTTTTTTCTACCAAATTCTTCCTCCAGCTCCATTAAAGATTGAAACAAATCACCTACATATTCTAATAAGGATAAGTGTTTAAATGTTTGATTAACTTTAAAAAAGATTTGTTAAAAGAGTTCCAAAAAAATGAAAAGTTTTCTTAAATCAAACACTTTTATTTTGTCACAAGAAATTATGCATTTAAATAAAAAAAATCCAAAGATAGAAAAAAGGAATCTCAAACAACTAGTTGACAATGATATTAATTGATTAATCTAAAACACATTTAGGCTTAAATAGAGTGAAAATTGTTAGCATAAAGCTGAAGAGAAGAAGTTATGATGATGTCTCAAAGTCAAATTTCAAGTGCTCTTGTTGAAAGAAGATCTTTATGAAGACTTGTTTTGTGTTAAAACCTTTGTAATTTAGTAGATTTATGTATAGGGTGTGGTTTATCTTTGATTCTATGTATTTTTGGTCTTAGGTTACGTTTAAATTTGTTTTGAATCAGAAAACCTCATTTATACTCAAGATAATCGATTACCAACTTATAATAATCGATTATCAGTAATCGATTATGACTAGTAATCGATTATGACTTGCCATATTCGATTATCACGAGCAATTATGAAAATTTTTAATGTTGTGCCTTCATTAAGTGCATAATAGATTACCATAAGTGGATAATCGATTATCACACGTTAAATAGCTGACAACAGATTTTTGGAGGTATCCTTAAGTGATATCTCTATAAATTGGGTTGAGACTCTCATTCTAAAATACAAAATACTTTGTATTCAAAATTCTTATTTGTTGTGTGTTGTGATAAGTGTTCTAGGGTTTGTGTAACCCTTATGCGTTGACTTTGAGAACTTGGTGTTGGCATAGAGCAAGAACTTTCATTAGAGTTGTGATTGAGTGTTATTGCTGTTGTTGAGTTAAAGCCTGTCATCCTTTGTGAATATTCAAAGAACATGCTCATCCTTCGTGAAGCATTCGAAGGAGGTGTTCATCCCTTGTGGGTTTCGAAGGTAAGTGAGTTTCATCTCTTGTGGTAACAAGAGAGGTGTTCTAACCTTAAATTGTGTTATTTTCTTTGTAATGATTTGTTGGTTTGTGATAATGAAGTGTTAATTCTTGTTTGAGATTAACAACCGAACCAGTATAAAAATCTTATGTGCAATTTTCTCTCTTCCTTACTCTTTAATTTATTTAAATTATTGTTAAGGAATTTATATTTTATGAGAAAATTATTAAAGGTATTATTTGCGATAAGAAACCAGTTCACCCCCTCTTGGTTTGTTGTACACACTAATCATTCCGTTGCATCACTCTAACAATTGGTATCAGAGCTTGCTTTGATAATAATTCAAAATGACGGGGCAACATCAAACCTTTGCTAAGGGTGCCTCTATCAACTGACCTCCTTTGTTTACTGGAGAAAACTATGCTTTTTGTAAAGTGAGAATGCCAATTTTCATGGAATCTATTGATAGTGATATTTGGGAAATTGTCACAAACGGTCCTTTTGTTCCTATTGTGTTTATTAACAATTTGCAGGAACCCAAATCGCGAGAACAATGGAAAGATGATAATAGAAGAAAATCCCAACAAGACGTAAGGGCTCGTAATATAATATCATCTGCTCTAACTGTTGATGAGTTTTACGGAATCTCAACTTCTAAGAATGCTCAAGAGATGTGGGAGATCCTGAGAGTTACCCATGAAGAAACTAATGATGTTAGGAGAGCCAGAAGAAATACTCTAATCCAAGAGTATGAGATGTTTCATATGAAGCAGGGATAAACTATTATAGATGTTCAGAAGTGCTTCACGCACATAGTGAATCATCCTATCAGGTTAGGTAAGTCCTTTGACAATGATGAATTAAATATAAAAAATTCTTAAATCTTTGGACAAGACTTGACAACCAAAGGTGACTGCCATCAGTGACTTGGCAATCAAATTATGTGACAAAGGTTTCAAGGTAACATTCAAATCTAATTATTGTACTATCCATGAAAAAGATTCTTCTGAAGTTGTGTTGAAAGGTGTTAAACATGCTAAATTTATTTAATTGATTTGAAAAATGTTTCAAATAAAAATATTTCATGTTTAGTAGTAAAAGAAGAAAATCCATGATTGTGGCATAAGGGAGCTACTCATATTCATATGCAACAATTGAATGGACTCATATCTACCAAAACTCAATTTTATTAAAGACAAACTATGTGTTACAAGTTAAAAAGGTAAACAAGTCAAATCATCTTTTAATTCGAAAAAAATTGTTTCGAGTGAAAAACTCTTAGAACTCTTGCACATGGATTTATTTGGTCTTTCAAGGATAAAATTTTTTGGGGGAAATTATTATGCTTCAGTTATTGTTGATGAATATTCAACATTTACATGGACATTTTTTNAGTAAACTTTCATAAATTTTTCATTCTGTAACACATACCAATTAATGTATGACACAAGGTATATCTCTCTTTTGGACTCATCCATCAATGTTTACAAATATTTTTGCTTGGTATCAAAGTGTTTTACCAGAGGTTTGAATGATCTGATGTCAATGAATCCGTAATGGAAGCCCGACTTGGTCCACAATGACTATGTCCATCTACCTCAACAAGAAATTAAGTATTATTGTTAAAACTAATAGTCTAAATATAAAATAGTATGGAAGAAAGTGAAATATCGTACATGCACCATACACACCATGATTGTCTCAAGAGCTTCCTTGACGCTCTTAGGTTTTATTTGAAACAAAAGCCATAGTATGCAATAATTAGCTAAGTTTTACGAGTACTTACCCCTTTTGAGACATCTCCAATAACATTGTCTAAAGATAATCCTCGAGGTTGTTGCCATGTCTTAGCTAAATCATTGGGTTGAGGATTATTTGTCTCATCAATTGTTGTCTCCTACAAGTCTTCTTCTTCACCTGCAACTGATTCACTTGACTCAAGAGGTTTTTCCTCAAGGTCCACAATTTCGTCAAAGACAACATGAATAGATTCTTCTATTTCAAAGGTTCTCCGATTAAAAACTCTATATGTTTTACTAGTTCAAGAATAACCAAGAAATATAGCTTCATCAGATTTTGAATCAAATTTATCCAAATTTTGTTTTTCATTATTTAAAACAAAACATTTGCATCCAAATATTTTCAAATGAGAAACATTAGGTTTTTCTCCTTTAAATAATTCATAAGGAGTACATTTTAAAATAGGACGAATAAGCATTCTATTTAAGACATAACATGCAGTACTCACAGTGTCAGCCCAAAAATGTGTCAGCCCAAAAATGTTTTAGAATCTTTGATTCATTTAATAGAGTTCTTGCAAGTTCTTCTAAAGATCTATTTTTCCTTTCTACAACCCCATTTTTTTGTGGAGTTCTAGGTATAGAAAAATTATGAGAAATTCCAA